AAAATATGGAGAGAGGGTCTAGGAAATAATGAGGGGATACAGGTATCAAGGCAAAAGCTTGTCATTCTCAACTGGGAACATCAAAAATCTTAAAGCCGGAAGAATGTGCCTTTCAAGTAATATCCCTTTTTAAAAATGCTCTTGCATAATTTGTTGATGACTGATTTAATTTCAGTCCAAAGTATTACATTCCATAGGAGAAAACAGGCTTTTCAGCTGGTTTAATTAGAAACCTGGCTTCCAAGCAGTGCTGGCCAACTTCAGAGCAGAGACCCAGAGAGGCAGAGAGCAGGCCGTGGCTGAAGTGTAGCTCTCACCACCCGGCAGGGTCGGCAGGCTTCGCGATCAGGCGGCAGGGTCCGAGGCCACGTGCCGTCATTCAGCAAACGTAGGCATGCGCAGGCCACCCAGGCTCGCTGTTTATGTTAGAGGAGCAATGCAGGGCCCGAAAGGTCGGGCTGTGACCCCAAGATCCCATGGTGCTGTTTCCTGGGAAGCCAAACTGCAGCATCCGGTTGACACCCTGGGACGCTGTCCATCTCTGTCCCGAAAGAGACGGCTGCTCCCGAGGCAGAGTGACTCAGTGACCTGCGCTCTCCTGCGGTCTGAAGGGAAACACTCGCTCTGCCCCAAACCATGCCTGAGATGCCTATGCTGGCAGGAGCCAGAGAACACCTTTGTTGATCTAGAAGAACTTCAGGTGGGTGCCACGGTCCAGAGGGGCCAGTGACTTGCCCAGTCAGGAAGAAGGTTCGAGACGGGAGCTATCGCTAGACAGGAACCTATGAGGGAAGGCGCTGGGTGTCTGCCCTGTTGTAGGTACACAGGAGATGAAAAGGCTAACTCCATTCCCTTTATTAAACCACCCTCCCTGGAGAGTGGACATGTGAGGACATTTGGAGCCATGGTTTGGCCAGGAGATGTAACTCTTGGTGAGTCAGAAGAAAGACAAAGGGAAATGAGGGTGAGGTTGGGTCCCATGCAGCAATTGAGGTCCTGGAAAGAAACAGCCGGCCCATTCAAATAAGAGAGTGTAAAGAGTGTTTAAAGAACTGGAAATGGGTTCAAGGAAGGGTCAATTTGCTGAAACGCAAGTGGATTAAAGGGAACCTCCAAGGCTGGGAGCATCCTGGGGATTAGCCACAGGGGGAGACAGGTCCCCAAACCTTGGCCTGAAGGGGCAAAAGGACGGAGGAGATTTAGAGGAACCCAAGGAAACCTAACATGAAGGAGGGGGCCTGCCCAGAGGAGCTGCAGGCGGAGTAAAGGAAAGCCAGAGGCTGCCAAAACTGCAGGGCAGGAAGAGGAAGGGGGAGGGAAGCTTGGGCCACCCTGCTCCCAGCAGACAAGTGTGCCCAGAGGTCAGCCTCCAAGAGCACAGGAAGGGCCAAGAAGGGTGGCTCCAGAGCAGCTTACAGACAATAACCAGCTCAGAGGAGACTAAAGAAGATGGAATTCGTCTGTGTTTTGTGAACATGAAATTAAATTGTACTTATGAACAAGAGTTGGTTACCTAGGGAACAATAATTGTATATTCAGTTTAACAGAAAGAAAAGAATATTTGTCTTAAAAAAAAAAAAAAAAGATGGGATTCAAGGAAGGAAAACCAGGTCACCGAGCAGAGTTTGGGTGAGTGTGGCTCTTAGAAACCTGAGTTTGATTCCTAGCTCAGCCACGTCTGGCCGTGTGAAAATAGGCATGTGACTTCATTTCTCTGAGCCTGTTTCCTCTTCTACCAAAAGCGGACACTAATATCAACACTTCGACAGCGGCAGGAAGGCACGTGCAGGAGCAGTTTGTACTTTGCCGATGGGGAGAACTAGACTCACACAGTTGCTATGATGCGATTGTCACTCTATGCCAAGCACCAGACAACCACCAAGAAAACTTGATTTTGGCCTTAGGAAGCTCCAGGTCTGATGCGTGACGAGGAAATAGGCTACATGCTGTGGAATTCCAAATGTTCTCTTAGCTCAGCCTTGGGGAAAGTGGTGGTCCAGGGAAGGACTTCTGGAGGAGGGAAGGAAGTCGGTGGTGGCTAGAAAGCTATACCTGAGGTACAGGCCACAGACTCCATTACAGCTCAAAGCCCGTCAGACAACACAGGCCATTGGCGGTAACAAGGCCATTTAAGTTATACAGCTTAAAGTGCAAACCGGACTATCTGATCCCCTGCTCAGGGCTCCCCTCCACTGTGCCAGGCTGTCCCTCANATCAGACAACACAGGCCATTGGCGGTAACAAGGCCATTTAAGGTTATACAGCTTAAAGTGCAAACCGGACCATCTGATCCCCTGCTCAGGGCTCCCCTCCACTGTGCCAGGCTGTCCCTCACATTTCAAAGAGATAGCTCCCAGGTCATTGAGAAGAAAATGGCCTCTGCAGTCTTTAAAGGATTTATAATGTACCAGGTCCAAGCCAATCCACTCTCACACTAGGAAAAGTAAGAGAGGAGGGTCACCCAGCCCTTCTAAGGCATTCGCAGCCCTAAGCAGCAAGCCCAGCAGCAGAAGATAAGCCAATAATAATAATACCAGTGATACTAATGACATGATAGTAACTCCCATTTCACATGTGTAGAGAGCTCTCACAAAGATAAGCCCGCTGAACACAGAAATGCAGTGGGGGTGGTGAGCACCCACTTTTGGTGAAGAGGGACTTGAAGTGAGAGTCTGTGAGCACCTAAGGTCACAAAGCTGGGAGGCAACCCACCTAAGTGTCTGAGTTGGCAAATCCAGGTTTCTTTGGTTTCCATGTTGCCTCCCTCTCTACTCACAATCGAGCTTTGTGATCATGGAAAGCACTTTCCATCCACCCCTTTTATAGACAAATGAATCGGTCACCCTTGTGTAAAACAAGAAATTCTATCAAGACAAGCCTGGGCTTGATTCTCCACACAGGGGCCAAAGTGACTCTTTGACAACTTTCACTAGATTGTGTCATAGCCCTGCCTCTGTGGCCTCCTCTCCCTGCCCCATCGCTGGCCTCCAGCCACCCTGCCTTCCCTCTGCTCCCCAGCACTCCAAGTGTTCTTCTCTTCCTTCTCTTTACTTGTCTGTTCCCTCTGCCAGGCCTGCTCTAAGGGATTTCCTCTTTCCATCCTCGGAACAGCCACAGGAGGTTGGCATTGCGAAGGATCTTTTCTAATCTAACTTAAAAAAGAGTTGAGGCTTGAGAAGAGCTCAAAGGGGCTCCAAAGGAAGAGAGTGAGCAACGTACACAACCACCCTGAGCTTCAGTTTTCCCCTATCACCTACCCAACAGAACCGCTAGGAGGTTCCGAGCAGTCTCCACATGGCCCCAGTGGGTGCCTGGCAGTGTGGGCACTGGGTGGGTATTTGTCTCCTTCCTTCTCCTAAGTAGAAGAAGAAAGCTCTTCACAGATCCATAGAAACTAAGAGATAGAAATGCCCTTAGTCCTGGGGTCAGCAACCATGGCCCAAGGGCGAAATCTCAGCCACTTCCTGTTTTTGTAAATAAAGTTTTATTAGAACATAGCCACGCCCATTCACTTAAGCACTGTCTGTAGCTGTCTTCATGGCACGACAACAGGGTTGGGTAATCGTGACAGTGACTGTACTCGCCTGCCAAGCTAATGTCTACTGTGTGGTTCTTTACAGGATAGTTTACTGCCCCTTGGTCTAGTCCTATCTCCTTGTTTTACGGTTGAGGAAACCAAGGATCAGAGACGGGAAAGAAAAGTTTAGGGTCATAGAGCAGGTCGGGGGGGGGGTGTCAGAGCCAAACCTAGGTTCTACTTCTACAGTCACTTGGCCTCATTCCACCAGCAAACAGGACTGACTCCATTCTTACTAGGTCCCCAGATCAGACATCGGAAAAACAACAGCAACTGTAGGGATGGTCCAGGTTTTTATTAACAGCAACAAAACAGTTCCTAGGATTGTTAAATATATATATATATTTTAAGTGGACTCTTCCTTCAGGGGTTGGTTGAGTAAGGAAAGATTCAACGTGACACACTCATTACCAGGTAAGTTGCCGAGTAGAAATCAAAATTAGATGTGAAAAGGTTTGGAATAAATGCCTTTAGGTGACGTGCCCATAAACAAGGCATCGATTAAATACATCATGGTCCTTCCATGAAATGGGAAACTGCAACTGCTGTGTTTTCCTTTTTATGAGGCATCTCCAGATGTAAGGATGGAGAATTTCTCCCAGGTGTGTCATTAAGGGGAAAAACAAAGGACGTAACAGCAGGTAGAATAAGGAACGCTT